GGTTTGTGGCTCTCATCACAGCTGTGAGCAGTGTCACAGCTGGAGCATGCTGCTGGGAGTCACAAGTTCAGTACACAGTATCACCACCTTTGCTTTCCATCTTGTGGGAAAGAGCTAAAAGGTCAGCCCTTTGCTCAGCTCCTTCTCTTCTTTCCAAGAACCATTCCCCTCCTTGAAAAGTGAGGTTTTCTCTCCTTACCCAGCTCTGTTTGGAAGAGCTTATCTCATCACTTAGCATAGTGATGTCCTTGTTAAGGCCTAAATTTACCTTCTGTACTACCTAAATTCGATTAAGGAGAGCCTAGAAGATGTATTTTGCTCTAAGTACTGGGGACCCAGCCATAAGTGCGTGATAAGTGTAAGTGGTAAATGTCAAATGCAGATGATTTCATCGCCCCATGGAAAGGGGTGTCTCTGCTTTTCCTCAAATAAGCATCTGAGCACTCAAATCCCTGCATGCTTAGAGTTTAAATGCTAGTGAAGTAAGCATGATCTGATAATTTAAAAGCATAATCTGCTTTCAAGCCCTCTGGTTGAAGTTGGGTAGTGAGCTGAAATCACTGGTCAGTATGGGTCAAGTGATCTGAATCCCATTGGGGTTTTTTTCCAGTGAATGAGTTTCTGGGCAGTTCCTGGTTTAAACTGTACATAATCCCTCTGCATTGCTTTTTGGAAACACCAGCCTCTCTGTATAGATGGTGTACTTCCACAGCAGACGTGGAAATTAAGATGCCTAAGGATAGTCTTGAATTCCAGAGGCTGAGGAAGAAGGCAGCTGTATCACCTCCTTCCCTTCCCGCCCCGCACACGTCTGTGGAGCACAATCATATTCCTACAGCTTCATTAGGGCCATCAAACTCTTTCTTGCTGTCACCAACTGGGGATCACCCATGTCCAAAGGACAGGAGAAAGAGGCAAAGCAGTGGCTAGCCCTTTGTATCCCATCTTCCTAAGGGATTACAGTGGTAGCTGTGTGTTCCACAAGCTGTACTCCCAAGTGCTTGGAGGCAAGAGTGAAAAGTTTGCTCTTCCTTTCACCCCGGGCTGCCCTCACCCTGTCTCATGCTGACTGCCTTTTTTTATTTGAAATATGTAGCATCCCTCTGTGGTCAACACTGTTCTAGTCAAAGAACTCAGCCTTGTGGTAAGAAAAGGGGAAAGGAGGGAGGGAAGAGTCCTGTATCTTGTTTTAATGCCAGATGTTTTAATTACCAGAGAGGACCACAGTTCCAAGTTGAGTACAGGTTGAAGTTAGGCTGCAGAATGACTAACAGAAGTCTCAAAAGGCACATGAAGAAATTGTTCTTCTTTACGAACCCATAAACCTCCTCTGTTAGACCCTGGGACACAGTAGTTTTGTGTTGTAGGACCAAGGATTAGGAGAGGTGCTACTAGCAAGAGATCCAGAGAACACTGTAATTCTGCCTGCTTTTGGAAGGACCCCTTAAGTAGGTGTTTGGGTTAAGGAATGAGTCTCTCTAGTTAGAGAGCACAGGGTGCTCTGAGTCACCTTCTGGAGAAGCCCAAATTAAGTCCCTGAACTTGTATTTGAAAAATGCTGGCCTGGGGAAGGGGAAGAGGAAGGAGGTGGGCTGGGAAAAGAAGGATGCCTAAGGAAGAGTAGTACTATTGCTGCAATCCACTGAGAGACCGGAAGCAGTTGATCATTACAGTTGGGCTGATCTTAAAACCATCTCCAGTGCACATTTTTAGTTCTGATACTTCTGTGGAAAATACTTGTGGTAATGCCATCTCCCTTGTCTTGCTCCACTGATCAGCAAGGGGTGGATCATAGAATCATTGAATGGTTTGGATTGGAAGGGACCTTAAAGCTCATCCAGTTCCAACCCCCCTGCCAGCAGCAGGGACACCTTCCACTAGACCAGGTTGCTCAAAGCCTCATCCAACCTGGCCTTCAACACTTCCAGGGAGGGGGCATCTACAACTTCCTTGGGCAACCTGTCAGCTCCCTTTATTGTGTTGTAACTCTCTTAAAAGCTAAAAGCCTGCTGCTTTGTTTTTTGTTTGTTTCTGATCTTAACCAGGGACCGAACCACCACGGTTGTGAATGTGGAAGGGGATGCCCTAGGAGCCGGCATCCTTAATTACCTGAATGAAAAAGAAAAGAAAGAAAAAGAGCAGGAGCTAAAGGAAGTCAACGTAGAAGCAGTTGCTAACAGCAAGTCTGAAGGGGAAACATCACCTTTGGTAACCCACAAAAACCAAGTCTCTAACACAACCAGTACAGCAGACCCTGAATCCAAGGAATCAGTATTGTGAACTAGAGGCCGTTCGTCAACACGCGTCCTAGAGGTGGACTGGGGACTTGTTAACGCACCTAGACGTTTGCAGTGCTAAACAAGGGCTGGATGGCTCTTGGGAGTTTTCAGTTCCAGTCTGTTATGAAATACAGTGGCCTGGGGAAGGGGGAGGGAGGTGGGGTGGGCAGTGAAAGGGTGTTGAGAAAGAACACTGGCTTTATAATAGTATTTTGATAATTCGTATGTGTACGTGTGTGTGTTGCACGTGCACACACAGGTACATGTATGTGAAAACAACGCCATCGAGACTCCTGGTTTAACAAGACTTCTGTTAGTAAAGGCTCATGCGGGTTGGAGATGGGGAAGTAGACAAGCCCATTATGTGCTTCTTCTAGGGAAAAATTAGGAAGCCTATTGTGCTGCTGTTCGAGTGGAAATGCAGTCTAGAAACTCCAGAGTGGGTGAAAATGTTGCTTAAATTTACTTTCTGGCCTGGAAACACTTACTGATCATAACAGACACAATATGAAGCAACATTTTTCTCCCACTCCTCTTCCTCTCCTGTTCCCCAGTCCCTTAAAAATGTCAAATATATCCTGAAAGCTAGCTTTTTCTTTTTTAAAAAAAAATAATAGTTTCATATCTGAATTAATAGCTTATAGGGATCCAGCCCTTGTTGCATCCCCCCACTGCATTGTAGCTCATAGCAGCTTTCCTGCCTTTTGGTGAATAACTCTCAGATTTTGGGACCAAACATAGGAGATCTTAGTGCAGATCAAGGACTGGTTTTCTCCTTTCCTCTAACCAAACTGTTGAGGCAAAAATCCAGAGGAACCACAAATTTTGTTCAAGTAATCCCTCCAGGGCTGGAAAAAAAACGCTGAGTCTATTCCAGCATAAATCTGTCTGAAAGAGGCTTGCCTGTGACAACATCAAGAACTCAAGAAGTCAGTTCCCTCACGAAACCACGCATGCTCCTTTGCTAGCACAATGTGTCCTGCTCATATTTATTTAATAGTTCAGTCCAAACAAGTTAAGTCATATCCCTCTTCTGGTAAAATTGAACAGGGGAGGAAAAAAACACACTGAACACACATTGAGTGGGAACTGACGACAGGCAAGTCTGAGTGTTGGCTTGAAAGGGGAAGAGGTGAGTTTCTAATCCTGTGTAGTTCAGTGATCTCTGCATGTAGGGACAGCTGCGTACCTGTTCTTGCTAGGAGTTTGGTCCTGCTGTAAATGTCCTTCCAGCAGCAGCTTACATGTAGTAATTCTGGGTGGCGCCGGGCCAGGCTAACACTTGGTGGCAGATGGTAACCTTTGCTTGAGGCTGAGCCAAATGCTTCTGGATTCTGACTCCTCCTTTTTTACCTTTACAACATACTTAACCTGAATTTGCACCCCAAAGCTGAACAAAGTCCAGCAAACTCAACTGCAAAGATCCTGTTGATTTATCTTGGCTTTTTGGACAGCAAAAAGTTACAAAATTATGGTTGTGCACGTGCCAAGATTTGCCTGGACTTGGGATGCTTCCCCTTGGCTACTTTAGCAAGATGATTACATATGGTCAGTTTCCACGCTGTTAATTCAGCAATATATATATTTACACTTAGCTTTGATGTAAAGTAATGCTAAGTCTCCCTTTTTCTTTCTCCTCTCTTGCTTCAGAGGAAGCTATCTTGGAAAGATATCCAGTTGCTGATGTTTATGTTACAGCACTAGGAAGAGGCAGCTCCAGGTTCATAGCAGCAGCAGCAGCAGCAGCAGCAGCAGCAGCAGGAGCCTTCATTTGCAAAGCATCCTTCCTGGTAAAAGGACACAGTTTTGCAAAAAAAGACTCTGAGAATGAGATGTGGCTACTTCTGAGGGGAAAACACAGTGAGTGTGTCATTACTGGCTGTTTAATCGTGTGCAGCAGGGCTATGCAAACAATCGAAGTAGGAAAGGATTAGTCAGCCCACTGAGAAACTGCAGGTGGAGTTTCTTTTTAACCAGTTTATTTATAACCCATGTCCACAAAATTTGGTCATTCCTTGGCTCATCTTCAAAATGGAAGGAGACAAACACAATTCTCTGGGGACAACCTTTGCCCAGTATTTATTATTTCATTTTTAGCAGATCAAGACCCACTGAAACTTTGCATTTCCTCCCATTAGAATCATCTCAACTCCTTTCAACTCAGGAAACCAAAAGCGCACTTTGTAGCTGACAATGAAAGTCAACAAATAAGAAGTGTTTTGAAAAATGTTGGAGGTTTAAAAAAATTATTCTTCAACAAAACTTTTTTTAAAAAAAAAAAAAAACAAACAAGTCTGATTATTTCTTTGAAAAATCTGAATGCACCAGAACCCCAAATACTTTTGATTTTAAAGCAGTTATAGATGTCTGAAGGTAGCTGAAAATCATGACTGTTCCCTGTGGGCTGGGTTCTGTAGTTGCATTTTATCCCCTATCAGACACTGAGCTCCTCTGATGCTCTCCCTCACCATCACATGTGCAGCTGGGATCAGGACAAGAGAGCAGGCAGCACTCAAATCACAGTTCCCATGAAGCATCACAGCACCATTTCAGATTAGAACATTTCTCAATTTTAATTTTTTTCACCCCAAAGCTGTTGTTGCCCATAGGTAAAAGTATTCACCTGGGCAAGTCCAAGGGCTGGGCTGCCTCACAGGCAGCACCTTGCCATTGCTGTATTGATCTTTCTTCCCTGTGGTGCTGCAGCTTGATTGTGCCTCATCCTAGTAGCAGCATGCCACAGGCTGTGGCACATTCTTTATGACAGTAGATCCCAGGAAATGGTAAATGGAAGCCAATACCTCAGAGTTGTCTTAGTGTTTTTGCTGAAGAATGCACCTCCCAGTCCCCACTAGTGGGTTGCCATGTTTTGCAGCAATGTGAACGTCTAGTCCCCTGTAAAGCTTGTTAGAGCAGTCAGATTTAAGGAGGTCAGATCATTCTCGTAGCAGGGATTTAACCAAGGAAATCTAACACTCCTTCTCCTGGAAACAGGTGCCAGAGGGTTTATATGAGCCGTGAGTATTTGGGTCTTAACCTGCCAGAAATCTGTAATCTTACAGAAGCCCTACTTTAGACTTACCAAGGTGCCAGTTCTTTTGTTGTTCATGCACAGCAACAGGGATCCCAGAATTTTCCATGGAAGCAGGAACACTGGGTAACTACTGCTTGGCAGAACATCTTCTTGGTCTTTTCTGTATCATCTGTTTTTCAGAAATTCCATTTCTTGTTTTTCTGTGATGTTCCCATTCCTCACGATGGCTATGCTGCATCTTCTAGGGCTCTCCACCTGGCTTCAGACTTTTTTTTCCTCAAGGTACAAATGTAAAAGATCAAATGTTACATTCTCTGGGACTGTGAAAAAATTGGCGCGTTCCAACAACTGCCCTTGTAACAACGTGAATCCTGATCCAAAGCCCAGTGAGATAGACTTGCCATTTGCTTCAGGTGGTCAGGATCTTCAGGTAAGGCCACTGGGAGAGAAATGAAAGGGCTGTTGAAGGATGTGCATTTTGGATGCTGTCCTTGACTGGCAGTGCAATGTGTTACACGGGGAGCTCCCTATTTCAGGTCCCTGTGTAGCCTCACTCCAAGAGGCCATGAGCTGAGAAGGTGCTCAGCAGCAGTGCAGGTGCAGCTGGTGGTACCTGCTCTGTGCTCTCACCCAGGCACTCCATGAATCTGGTGCCAGTGTGGTACTGAACTCCAGTGTCTCTTCACCAGACATATGCTTATGGTCTCCCAAGGTGACTAAATTGGAAACCTTTAGTCAGTTGCTTTTTATTTGAAGAGGGAATAAATTCCATCTAGAAAACACTATTTTTCTTTTGGTTTTAGTGTTTTTGGGGTTTTTTTTAGAAGATATAAATTCTCTCCTTAGGAATGCAGGCTACAGACAGCTCATGTCCTACCCTCTAGTACAGTGATTGCTTTTTTGGGAGAAAGACATGGGAATATGGAAGAGAAGAGTGTGCAAGTGTATGGCATACGCAGTCTCTTTTTGTCTCTGATGCCATTTATTCTTCCACTTTTACCTTCTCTTTTTCAGTTGCTGTTTCTTTGACTGTTTTGGACCATCTTTTATTTCTTCTTCTCCAGGATTGACTTTCTACTCCATGCTTTATCCGTCACTGCCCGATCTCATCCCATTTCCTGGAATTTCCTGTGCTGTTTTTATGTATTGATGGCTCAGGTATAATTGGGAGAGTGGGCAAATGAGGACAAATTTTTGAGGGCTCCAGCTGGTCCTTGGGAAAGTAGTTTGCATCCTGCCTTGTTCCTGTCCTTAACTCACCAGAGGTTTGGGAGACTTGGTAATTTAAAGAGTAGCTCTGAGAGTGTGGAGCAGTAACCTTCTCTCATCCGGAGAAAGGTGCTTGTTCTGTGCTGTGAGATGTGGCTATGGATGCCTGAAAAGCTGCAGTGAGCACTTGGCTGCTGTTAGGATATTTTCAGTAAAGACCCATTATTCCCAGGAACTGAGCTTTGGCTGAGTCTCAGCTGGTGTGTTGGTAATTGCACTACAAGATTCAGTAATTGCAAAGGACTTTAAACCCTTCTGGGGATGGCTCTTGCAATCAGGATGGCTTTTGTGTTGAAAACAGACTAGGGCCAAACCCAGGGCTTCCCCTGCAGGCATGTGACAAACAGGACTGTGTCCTTCAGACATAACAGAAATGTGGAGCCAGCCAAAGTACCAAATCAGGCGGTGAAACAACCTCTGCTTTGTGTTTTCTGGGCAGCCTTGTTACTGCTGCAGTAGAGTAACAAGGCAGTGCCCTGAGCTGGAGGTGGCAAGAGGTTGGGGGCACAGTACGAGGGGCAGGAAGGTTTCATATGTGCTTGCTCTATACTCTCCCCTGGACATTTACTGTGGCCAGTGACAGAGATGGACGTGACCCAGTGTCACCATTCTTAAGACTCATTCTCTTATGGTTCTTCCATATTTTACAGCAGGAGTAATGAAAACTTCAGGGTTTAGGCAGTTCCTCTTTCAGTCAAGTCAAAGGCCCTGGTATCTTTGTGACTGACCACCCTGCCCTGCTCTATGTTGTAGGTTATGTCCTCAAGAGCTCGCAAAAAATACAAAGCCACCACCTCTTTCTGCAGAGATTTCCAGTGTTGGACAACAAAATCTGGGCTGGATCTTCACTCTGGTCCTCTGCTAGTGCAGCACATTTCTGCAGCCACTGGAAAGCACCTTCCTGTTGGAAATCATCAGTTTTAATCCTGACCTTCCCACAGGCAATGAGCAATGGGCCTCAGGTAGGAAGTCAAAGGACCTAAAAACAAACTCTCACCAAGGGAAAATATCACATCTTCATTGATTTTTAACTGGTCCGTGGCAATTCATAATCACACGCAGACCTGCCTTTACTGACTGATCCTGTGACTGATGAACAGCACAGAATGAGGCAGGTCACATAAATCCTCTGCCTGGGCTTCCTTTTCTGGAAATTACATTTAGAGATACTTAGAGGAGTTGCAGTGTTTGGAAAGCACTCTTGAGACACAGAGCACTAAATCTTAAAT